GGGATCCATATATGTCTTACCCTTGTCCAGTGGACTGTGGAGATGATAGGCAAGAGAGCAATGTCAGGAGTGTGGCAGTGCCTGACCAAAGTGGGCAAAGTGTACCAGGGGGGCATTAACAAGATACATATAATTCTAGAGAGTAGTCAGTGTATGCTTTTGAGAAATGACACTGGATCTGAGACTTGAAGAAGGAGTAATTAGCCAGGTAAGCAAGTAGGAGAATTATTTTAGGAAGTAAATAGTGTATATGAAGATGCTGAGATGAGAGAGAGCATAACTTATTTAGGGAATGTAAGTAGTTCCATATGGCTGGAGTGAGATAAGTGGGAACAGTCCCAGGTCAGAAGTTCCAGGGGCCTTTCAGGTTAGGAGTGAGGAGAAGCTTTACTTGGATAACATGAGCAAGATAGGGCAGAGAATCAAAATTGCCACAGAAAGGAAACTAAACTATAGCAAGAAAGAAAACAACATATTTCAAATCTGACAGTCTCAGTGAGGATAGAAATAGAAGGATGAATAGTGAGGACAATGGCCTAGAGATTCAAAGAAAAAACAGAGCAATGTGAGAGGTGTGGTGGAGGTAACTGTATCGGCCTGTGAATAGAGTGTATTCAAGGTATCAGAGTGCTGAGAGGTAAGTGGCATAATACACAGGAGCTGCACCAGCTCTCGTATGTACACTCTTTGGCTGCCTTCCCATAGTGACAGAGTTCAGTTTACCCAGAGTGGATTCCAGCATGAGTTCCTTTAAGAATTGTCAGGCTGCCTCTGTCAAAGTGGACCTTTTTGGTGTGCAGAAAAAAAAATAGTGAAATCTGGAATTACTATTCAAGGAGATATGCTTTGTGGATGCATGGAGGACATTACTTTATATAGGAAGGTAAGTGGCCTAGTTAGCCTATCTGAAGGCATGTATTAAAGATATTCTTCATGTGCTCTTGTCACTGATCTGAGGATGATGCATGATGGATGCATTTGTACCTCAAGCACCTTAAATGGTTCTACTAAAACTCTTAGGGCATTATGTAGATGGAATGCCAGTCAGGCAAATTTCCTCCCTCAAGAGTACAGAATAGAGGAGCATTTTCATTAGGACCCTTAGTATGTCTAGGATAGTGTTCCAGCATTTTGATATGGTCTGGGATGAAACATACAGTGATGGTCTCCTCAAGATGATCAGAGAATGGGTGCTGTTAACGGAGTGCCCTTGACAATCTACCTGGGTCTTTTTGGTTGATGCTCAGCTCTAGAACATGTTCTATATATCTTTAGTACATTCAAAGATATTATGTCAAACATGAACTATCCAAAGACCCAACTGGTACAAGTGACCTGAAGAGATTCTGATGGATTCTGAAGAGATCGTGATGCAAGCACAGAGAGTTGGAGTCTGGTCTCTCTATGTGGCCATCTTGTTAAGAGGCTTCCTTTGCTACTCTGCAGTGCTGAGTCAGGTTTCTCCTCAAACCCTTCCTTGACATGAAGGGCTGAGATTGTGCACCTGCCAACTCTGCAAGGGACCTCAGGAATGGAAAACTCTAATCAGAGAACTTTCTGGTGGTTTTCAACATCCCTAGCATCAGGACTTGCAGAATGGTGTATCTACTTAGCCTTGAAAGCTGCCTGCTGAGTGAAACTGGCAGCTGCTTTAGGCTGCAGTGACCTGCATAATCAGCTTGAATGCTGACTTCAGCCAAGACACGTCAGCTCAGCTCCCAGACATAGTTGTTGACTTTGGCAGGCAAGTGCGGGGCCACCAGACCAGGGGCTCTTCCTGTGATAGAATTGTCCTTAGAGTGGTTTTAGAGATGATGCTTCTATGTTGTAAGGCATTGTAAAGTGGTATAGGCAAAGCAAGGCAAAAATGAAGAAAACAGCCTTTAAAATGCTTATGTGGATCCAAGTGAATTTGTGCTCCCTTTTTCTTGATGAAGGTCAGAGTCTTTTCCAAGTAAAATTTCTGCCTCAATCTCAACCTTCCAAGGTAGATTCCAGGTTAGGGTTTAAACTCATACCTCACAAATATTTTTGTGTAAAAAATATGTATAAACCTCACAAATATCAGGAACTTCTGTAGGTCCTTGATGGGTCTGCCACAAGGCTATCTTGGGTGGTATAATTCAAGACTTGGGAAAAAAGACAATTCCTAGAAAGTAGACCCTTTAGAATCTTGAAGGCATACTTCTCCAGGTTGGCCAAGAGGTTGGGACATATGAGCTCCTATAGGACCACCTGATTAAGAGCTTATTCAGAAGCAGTATTCCACAGGGGTAAGCAAAGTCAAATAGTTTTCTTTACTGTGGACTGCTAGGAGTCTTACCTGTGCTCCTGAGTTCTGTGGATTGTGCAAAGACATGGTCATGTAGCTTTCCCAAACAGATGCAACAGTTTTTTTGTGGACCTGTCCATTAACAGTAGTCAGTGCTTCCTGCAACACTTCTTTGTGAATCACTGAATGAGTTTCCCCTATTCCCCTCCTGATATCTTCCATCAAGGTGGTTTTGAATAACAAACTAGGTTGGGTCTGGTAATTCTCTAACCTTCAGGTCCTCTATTAGTGGATCTGTATTTTCTAAACTGCTTATGGTTTGCTTTTTTGCGATTTATCTCATTCTTAGTGAAAAAAAGATGAACATAGATACTACTTTTATGCGGTTAGGCAGTCAAAATTATGTGAGAGGAATGGAATACAAAATTATGTGGGACAAATTTAGTTAAAGATTAAAATGTTTTTACTGTTGAAATATCTATAAATTTTATGTTAATATTACCATGTGTCTTATATCCATATATCTTATATAACTCTCCATATATCTTATATATTAATATTAATGTTAATATTACAAATTCAAAAAATATACATGGGCATAAAATTGATACTAAGATACTTTGAACTGATATGTGTAAATAAACATAAGAAGGTTAAAATAAAAATTTTTTAAATAGGCCAAGACATTCTAAATAAAGCCACCAATTTATAAATTTCTGTTTGTTTACCTCAGTTTTTACCATATACTGTTTCTGCTCACAACAAGCCAAAAATGAAACAGTATGGTTTATAATATGAAAAACATGTATTACAAGTGAGCATAAAGTTGAGAAATGGCTACTTGCCAGTAGCTACATAAATTTTGGAGAAAATATATCTTCTATGGGGATGATTTGTTACAGGAATAACCAGTATTTACTAAGGCATTAAACTGGTGAAAAAATTACCCTTAGGCAATATATACATTGATCGTTTAGTAGCATATATCAAATACAGAATTTATTATGAAACTAATCAGTTTTCATTAACGTGAAGAACAAAATCTTAAAGAAAAAAAAAAAGATGCAGTGAAACAGAAACCAGAGCAATTTCTCATGCATGTAGATGCTGCTTTAATTTTTTTGCATATTGAATATGGACTTCCCACTACACATTCATATGTCACAAACTCATGAATCTATATAATCTGCTAGGAGGCATTTTCTTGGAGTATACCTGCTTTCCTTCCCAACGTCTGCTCTCTACTTGTATGTTTGTCTCCTTGTAGCCTAATAGTGCAATTCAAAGGAGATTTATGCTATCATTTTGCTCCTAGCAAGAGGGAAAGAGCAGCAGCTGCTTCATTTCCTGGAAGCTCTTTCCAGAAGCCGGAAACTCTGGGAAATTGTCCAGACTGACTTACAGAGAGAGTGTGCTAAAACTGTCCCTGCCTCTCACTGTATGTAGGAGTTAGCATGGCCTGAAAGGTAGGGAATAAGAAGGGATCTCTCCCCCTACCCCCACCATCTCAGTTACTAGGCTAGATAGTACTCATGGTGTCGGCATCCCACAAATCAGAGAGAAAGGAAATCGTGATGGGCAGTTTTGTTCTTTATTCAATAGTGGCAGCAGTAAATGAAAACTAAGTGTACTACAATAAGCATTTAGGACAGGACCTGGTACACGGTGCTATATAAGCATTTGCTCAAGAAAATGTTACCACATATTCTTCAGAAGCATCTTTTAAAAGGCTGCAGTATACCATTAACTGGGTATAGCATAATTTACCCAACCATTCTATCATTGTTGGTTTTTCAGTAACTTTTCAATGAACATGTGTTTCAATGTTATAAATAACTTTTTAATGAACACGTACATACTGTTCTTTCTAGTTTGTGTGCATTTTTACTGTACATTTACATGATTTTATCAACTATCACCTATAAAATAGCTGGGGAATTATTGAAGCCTTTGATTGATTGGCTTGGCTCTTACATCAGAGGAGCATGGCTAAGAGCACTGTGTAATTCACTGCTTAATTCACTGCCAAATGGAAGGAATGTTTTCCCTAATGTCTTCATTTCATGTACTACTCAAGGAATGGAGGTGGCCTGTAAGAGAATATAATTCCCTTAAACAGGATATATTATACTGTTACATTTGAGGCAGGGACCTTTCCTTTAACCAGAAGCTTGAAACACCGAGAGACAAATTCATTATTGGTGTAAACCTTTCTTTACGTTTCAAAAAAACATGGTGGGTATGACTACAGAGCATTTCCTGAAGCTTAATAATCATCTAAGGTTAATGCTGGCCTTCAGTCTCATGATTAACTTAAAGTCCAAGCAGGTCATTAATCCCCAGAAAACGTTAAGCATTTTGATTGCTGTTTGTTTAATTGGACTGGTGAATAATTTAGTAAAGGATGATTACATGAATTTGAACAAAGAAAAGACTGTTTTTCTAGCATGCACAGTGGCACCCCCTAGTGAAAACACATTTTAAATGTATAAAAAGTAATTTAGATATTGGAAATGCAAGGTTTTTTAATATATTTGCCAAAGGTTTTGATTAGCAAAATAATCTTTTTGTAAAAGGAGATAAATAAACCAACATATTTCCAGAATGTGAAAAAAACACATAGATCTAAAGTAGTTAACTTTCTTTATAAAGAATATTTAAATTCTCACTTTATACTAACATTGAAAACTTATTTTAATAAGAAAACTCTTCTGTTTTTTCTGCTTAGGTCAGAAGGGGTTCTTTGTTTGAAATAATTTCCTTTCCAGCAAAGACTGCTTTAACTAGCATAATATATGCTTCGTATGCAGCACTAACTTATTTGGTAAGTTAAGAGACTTATTAAAGTTTACAAATATACTTATTTTATGTAATGTTAAATATATACTGTACAGTACTTGTATCAGACAAAATAGATTTCAAAACAAAGTAACAAGAGACAAAGAAGGACATTACATAATGATAAAGGGGTCAGTCCAACAAGAGGATATAACTTATAAATATCTATGCACCCAACACAGGATCACCTACATATGTGAAACAAATACTAACAGAATTAAAGGGGGAAATAGAATGCAAAGCTTTCATTTTAGGAGACTTCACCACACCCCTCACTCCAAAGGACAGATCAACCAGACAGAAAATAAGTAAGGAGACAGAGGCATTGAACAACACATTAGAACAGATGGACCTAATAGACATCTACAGAACCCTCCATCCAAAAGCAGCAGGATACACATTGTTCTCAAGTGCACATGGAACATTTTCAAGAATAGATCATATACTAGGCCACAAAAAGAGCCTCAGTAAATTAAAAAAATTGAAATTGTACAAACCAGCTTCTCAGATGATAAAGGTATGAAACTAGAAATAAATTACACAAAGAAAACAAAAAAGCCCACAAACGCATGGAGGCTTAATAACATGCTCCTAAATAATCAAAGGATCAATGATCAAATAAAAACAGAGATCAAGCAATACATAGAGACAAATGACAACAGTAATTCAACAATGCAAAATCTGTGGGACACACCAAAGGCCATGCTAAGAGGGAAATACATTGCAATACAGGCCTACCTCAAATATTTTTTAAGGTGAAGAGAAAGGTACATAATGATGAATTATCACAAAATCTATTCATTTATGTACCACACAGGTCAAGAAACAAAACATTACCATAATTCTAGAAGCCTCTTTCTTGCTCCCTTTACAGTCACTAGCCTATTCTATAATGTCAACCACTATACTGACTTCTAATACCATAGACAGTGTTCTTTACTTTGTATACAAATGAAATCATGTACTGTATAATATTCTTCTGTGTTTGTCTTCTTTTGCTCAACATTATCACTGTGAGATTCATTCATTTGTTGCCTGTAGCAATAATTTGTTGATTTTCATTGCTGTGTAGTATTCCACTGACTGATTTCATCACTGTCCATTCTACTTTTGAATATTTAGATTATTTACAGTTTGGCTACTTTGAAAAGGTTGTTATGAATATTCTTACACATATGTTTTGTTGAAATTGCTGGACCATAGAATATGCATGTGTTCATCTATAGTAGATATTGCCAAACAATTTTCCAAAATCATTTTAATACTTCCTTCCAATGGAATGTTAGAGTCCCAGTTGCATTACATCACTTCTGAGAGTTGGTGTTTTCTATTTTAACCATTATAATGGGTATGCAGTATTATGTCATTGTGGTTTTATTTTGCATTTCCTTGATTACTGATAAGATTGAATAGCTTGTTATACATTAATTGGACATCTGGATATCCTCTTGCGAATTTCTGTTCAAGTCTTTTCTCACTTTTCTATTGGGAGTTGTCTTTTTATTACTGATTTGTACTTTTTACGTGTATTCTAGGAAAAAGTCCTCTTTTGGTTATAAAGGGGAAAAATTTATTTTGTGCCTTATCTTTTTACTCTTTTAGCACTATTTTTAAACATAAGTTTTAAATCTTAATGTAATCCAGTTTATTAATATTTTCCTTATGTTAAGTTCTTTTTATGTCTTAATTAGGAAATCTTGACCTACACCCAAGGTCATGAAACTATTCCCTCTTATATGTTCTAGGAATGCTGCTACTTTACCTTTTATTTTTAGATTTATACTTCACCTGGAACTAGTATGAGGTAAGGGTCAAATTTTTCCTCCATGTTCAATTTTCTTTCAATTGATCCAACTCAGTTTATTAATGAAAAAAAATCCCTTTTCCTATTGCCTCAGAACACCCCTTTTGTCATAAACCAAGGGTCCTTATATGTGTCTATATATAGGTCTGTTTACAGACTTTCTGTTTGTAAGTCTGGGGAGAGGAAATCCTGAGGTAAAATACCTCTAAAAACCAAAATCAAAGGGAGAAATAAAGTTTAAAATCCGTTTATTGCTTACAAAACTGCAGTCCAGCCTCTCTCTCTCTCCTGCTCCAGCAGCAGCAAAACCGGCCCTCCTCCTCACCTCTCAGGTACAGATAAGCTCTCCTTGCCCAGGTAATTACCTACTGATATGGAGATGAACTTCTCTCCACCGCTCAGGAAGTTGTAAATGTACTAAAGCCATACTTCTTTCCACCTCTGAATACCTATTGATATGCAGATGTACTAAAGCTAGGGGAGATAGTCTGGAAATGTTACAATTTTACCCACAGGCCACCCCCTCCAGAAATCTCTCCTTACAATTTACTCATTCCCCCTCTTCTGACCTATCTAACAATATACAATAGCAACAGCAATAAAACCTTGATAATCCTCAAGCCAGAGGATTCAGCCTATGCAGACTGAGTAAATGTACTTTACAGCACAATCTCTCACTAAGCACAAAATATGTTTCTACACTTGTTTACTCATTCCTAACAACTATGCTAGATTGCTCACAAAAATTTTACCGAACATTTGACAAAGTCAAGCCTCTCTTTAAGCATTTTTTTCTTGACAACACCAACACAATCATGATCATTCTCAAGCCAGATGATTCAGCTAGGTTCAAAATCCCATGCAGATTAACTCCAAAGCTCATCCATTCTAGTCATCATGTGGCAGCTGCAGCCAAGGGCCACATCCAGGACACAAGGACTGTAGAAGCAAATAACCGTGATTGTGGGGGGCCACTTTGCTGTTATTCCATGAATACACAGGAGGCCAGGTTCCAGGCCTTTTCTCCAAGGTGCCAAAAGAGCCAGCCATCACCAGTACATGTGTCCAGGGCCACGTCCATTTTACTCCTAATTGCTGCACCCATCCTTGCAACACATATTCAATAAAGTGGATTGCCTTGATTGCTCTTACAACCAGCGACCAGCCATAAGCTGCAAAGAGATGCACTAGGCCCCTCTTGGTTTGCTGATCTGCACAATGTGCAGGGCGCTCCTTCTGGGCTCGGCTGACTTCTTCAGAGGTCAGTGGCAAGCCCCACCAATGGACTACAGCCTACATTGTCTTTTGCCCCACGTGCAACAGACGCTGAGCCTCATCAGAGGCACTTTCCTTCTAGTCAGCACACCTGGGCCAATGAGTCTGCTTCATCATTCCCTGGGGATGCCAAAGGCAAATGGCCAGTCACAAATACATGGTAGGTGTCTGTGCCACACCACTCTGTGGCCTTTGTGTCCAGTCTCGCACCCAACCCACAATGAGATAGGAGGTTATTACCTTGGTTGGAGCTGTTCCAGTGGTGGGCTCTGTAGCCAGCAAGGTGTGGTACACAGCAGCCAGTTGCTTCTCTATCAAGGTGACCCAGACCTCTGCTCCTTTCCATAGTTGTGACCAGGCTCCAGCCGGCAGCAGAAGCAGCAGCAGTGGCAGAAGCATAACCTTAGGCTCAGGCCACAGGCCAGGGTCAGCACGGCCAGCAGTAGTGGTGGTGCCTTCAAGACCACATGAGTGTAGACACACATCCCTCAGCGTGAGCGCTTCTCCCCATCATTTCTTGGGGTGGCCCTCCAAAAGGTCGCACACATTATGACAGATTTTGGGTTCAGAGGAACCCTACCGACTGCCGCCGTATGTAAGTCTGGGGAGAGAAAATCCCGGGGCAAAATACCTCTAAAAACTGAAATCAGTCAAAGGGAGAAATAAAGTTTAAAACCCGTTTACTGCTTACAAAACTGCAGTATGGCCCATCTCTCTCTCCTGCTACAGCAGCAGCAAAACCAGCCCTCCCCTCACCTCTCAGGTACAGATAAGCTCTCCTAGCCCAGGTAATTACCTATTGATACGGAGATGAACTTCTCTCCACCCCTGAGGAATGATGCAAATGCACTAAAGCCATACTTTTTTCCACCTCTGAATACCTATTGATATGCAGGTGTTCTACAGCCAGGGGAGATATTTTGGAAATGTTACAATTTTACCCACACTGTTCTATGCAGTTGATCTATTTCCTATTCTTGCACCAATTCAACACTGTATTATTTATAGGAGCTTTACAATAAATGTTTGTAACACAATAAGTCTCTCTTCCAATCTATGAATGTGGTATATCCTTCTGTTCATGTAGGCCTTCTCTAATTTTCTCTTAATGATTTTTATGATTTTTTTATTAGAAGTCTTGCACATTTTATTCTATTAAAATAGAAGTTTTAAATTTTAATGTAGTCCACTTTATAAATATATTGATATTATATTAATACAGTTTTGTTAATATTATAATGATCTTGCATATTTTTGTTAATATTTTCACTCATACTGAAAGACACAATAATAAAGATGAAGTTTTTCCCAAAATTTACAGATTCAATGCAATCCCAATGAAAATGAGCAGGTATGTGTGTAAGTTAACTAGTTTATTCTGGAATTTATAGGGAAATGCAAAGGGTCAAGAATAGCCAAGACAGCCTAAAAAAAAAACAGTTAATGAATTTACTTTTAAACATATTTGCAGTTTTTTTTTAAAGTGAACATATTAAATAAATACTTTGCAAGTGTTTTAAATTTTTTAAGTGCTCAGTATCTTAAATGTGAGTCTCATACAAAATAGACATTCAGCTAGAGCTAGGATGTAAATATGCTGAAAAAAATGGGTGGGAAGAAATAGCTATGGAGAAACCAAAATTAAACTCTAATTTCTCAAAGGCTTTTGAAATCATCCCACATGCTCTGTTGTGCTGTAAACTTTCTAAGTAGATAATAGAAACAATTTTTTTAGTGACATAGTAATTGGTCCTATGTACATCCAAGGCCTAGGAAAGGTCAGGCCTGGGATTATGGTCTTGAAAGCAAATAACACATGTTAGAAGTTAATGTTCTGGGAATGGAACCATGCCAAGTGAAAAGTCAACAGAAATGTAAAGAACTGCAACATTTAAGGTGAGCTAAGAAGAAAATCCATGAAGGAGAGAAAGAAGCAATCATCAGAAATATAGGCAAAAAATTCAGGAGAGACAGATTCAAGAAGTAGAGCCTCTGAAATTTGTGAGTGAAGCATCAGATATGAGCAGAAAAAATCAAGTAAAATGAAGGTTTGAAAAGTGTCGATGAGAGCTATCAGTGAAGATGTTGGAATTAACCATCTTGGGAACTATTTCAATGGTATGTTAGGATAAAGAAGACAGAAGTAAGGCTTTGGAGTAAAGAGATGATAAAATGGAAACCATGAATGTAGACTTTGGTTTGATCAAGAAAAGAGAGTATGTGGAGCAGTTAAGGTGAAAACAGGGTCCCAGGGATTTTTAATTTTTTAATTTTAAGATGTAAGATGCTTGAGCAGGTTATATGTTACAGGGGAAGAACCCATCAAGGAAGAAGTTGAAAAGGCAGGGAATAATTGACAGAAGATGGTAGGGTATAGGTTAAAAGCAATAGGGACCTTGATCAAGACCCTTCATTTTCTGAGACTGGGACAGAAGTTATATGGGTACAGAAGAAGTTATATAGGTGAGGGAAAAAGAAATGTATCAAATCAGATAGGGCTTCTCAATTTTTTTCATAGTTTAGCATACATAGAAAATGATCATATATGGGATAAATGGATGAAGCTGTTTGTAGCTGGAAGTGATGGACTTAAAGGTTTATAGCTCTAGGTTTGTATATATATTCAGATGCAAGTAACAAAAAATATCTGACAGTGCCTTAATTGGTAAAGACATATTTAAATATCTTTTTAAATTAGAAATCTGGAGTTAGGCAGTTTCCAGGTTTGTACAGTATATCTAGTGTCATAAACCCAGGGCCTTTCAGTCCTTCTCTTCTCCTGCCTACCCTGTTTGTGTTTTCCGTCCTTAGGTTATTGCCTGGCGCTCAGGCATCACAGGTATATCACTGTCCAAAGTAGGAACAGGGTGGTGGTGGGAGGGGGTTAGGTAGAGGCAAAAAACAAAGTCTTTATTTTTATATAAGAGGAAAAACTTTTCTAAAATCCTGTCCTGACCTCCTACCCAGCAGACATTTCACTTTGTTGGCTAGAACAGGGGCACATGACTATACAGTAATTGCTGGGAAGTGAAGGAAAGCACTGGTGTTCCCCCATTCTACAGTGGAACTTGGGCAAAAAAGGAGGCAGGTCAGGAGGAAATGGAGGCTATTCAGCCAAGGCTCTCAATCCTTTCTCTGTTACTCTCTTTAGGAAAACCTACTAAGTATTTAGAGCCTATTATGTCACCTTGAGGCATCTTTTTGGTAAAATAAGTTAGTTGAGGTCTTCTCACATTTTGTGGATTTTATTGTTCTTGTTTCTTGCCTTAAATACTTGGTGTCATCATCATCATTAGTAAACTTACAGAATAAGTTTAACAGATACAGTTCTTCATGATTCTCAATTTTCAAAGTTATTTTTCTATGTTTTGTTTTAACACTCTTATAATATTGAATGGCATTTTTTGAGGGAAGATTGATCATGTTTGCTTAGAAATCATTTATTTACCAGCCCACTAAATTTTTACCAAAATGTATATGCCCTTCCAATTGTACACAGAGGTCTAAACAAAGTCTGAGGGGGAAAAAGTAAAAACACACACAAAAAATCCCACTTTGATATTAACATGTTTGGGAACAAATTGTATTAGCAGATGTTTCACTTAATTAAATCGGGAGAATAAAGGAATGTTTCATTTAATTAAATCAGAATGAAGATACACAACATTTAATGAATTGGGAAAAAAGGTGTAAAGCATGGCTTTATTGAAGCATACTAGGTTTTAATTTTCTTTCTAGATTATGCTATAATATATTTAGAACAAGAAATCAATCTCCAGATGTTTATCATGCCAGGAAAGGAAGTGCTTCTTTATTAGAATATGTAGATTAATGACTTTATGTTAAACATTTTATTGGACTTCTTAATCTATAAATTAAGCAGCTTACAAAGAAATTTTTCTTTTCAATTTCTTTATTATTACTAGACAATCTGTGTTAATGCAATGCTGGAGAAGGTAAAGAAAATTTTCCAAGAAGAAGAATCCATAAGGCAAAACAGAGAGGAGAATGGAAATCTTAGAAGAGCCTTTTCTGCGCCTGTGTTTTCTGAAGGTAAAATCCAAGCAACACCTTACAAGTCCTTACCAGAGAAGCTAGGCAATTTTTCAAATCACCCCAAACTTCCTGCTGGTAAGTTGAATGATAAGATCCAGGTTTTACATTCTGTGTTTGGTCCATCAACTGAAATGAATGAATGAACAAATCTGAACATAAATATCACTGAACAGAGCTTAAGAGTTATCTATCTAATGACATTTCATCTAACAAAACTGGAAAACTAGTTTTCATATGCCGACTGCTCTGCTTTAAAAAATGGGTAGAAGGAGCTACCGTTAAATGTCATTCTCAAGTATTTGTATGGTAGAGAAAATAAAATGAATCAATGTATAATATATGTATGATTATATGTTATTTTTTAATGAACAAGAAAATATACCCTTTGGTGAGCTACACTTTATGCTGTTGTTTATAATATGGTCGTATTTAAAATACATTTATGTTTTTATTAAAGATTTGTTTCAAGTACCTTTCCAATTACCTGTGAGAGAAGAAAACTCTATTAAAATGCTGTATATCTTTTACAGAGGTAACAAAAGGGTATTTATTTTCTATCTACAGGCTGCATAATTTGGGCCTGCCTACTATCAGTTCTTTTATAACTCATCTGTAAAGTTGTGAAAGAATTGTCATTCATTGATTTAATTTATAAAACAAAATATTATTTACAAATCTATAAGAGTTGTATATGTGAGCAAAGGATAGGACATTTATTTCCAGATATAAAGGAACAAATTTAGAACCAGAAATCAAGTCTATATTACTCATTGTTGTCACTGGATCCTGAGAGAAAATGTTTCAGTGATTGGCCCTACAAACTGGGGTAATGGCTTTGCCTGTAGGAGGTACTTTGTTTTCTACCATGCTTTTCAAATTGTGGACATGTGATAAGACCTGACTGATTATTGCCGGATTAGCACCTGATATAATTGACTGAGAGGTACCCAGCCCAGAGATGGTACATTTCCTATACCTGGTGACTAGACGCTGCTATAAACAGTACTTATGAAAAGCCCAACCCTGGCTCTTTAGTAGTAGTCTGAAAAACAAGTTTCAAGTGTTTTATTAGCTCATGCTACCCATATTCCATCAGAAAATATGAATAATATGTAAAAAAAAAGGCTCTATAAGGAAAACCTTAGTGGTAGATACTTTATTCACTTATTATTTTTACAGTTAGCAAAGGAGAGTCCAGGTGCACCTCTTAGAAAGTTAATTATTACATTTAGAGCCTTACTACAATCCTGTGCCACTAAGAAGATTACTGTGCTTTGAGATTGGATTCCAATGTTGACAAACAGCTTTTCTCACTCTGAATTAATAATCTGCTCATCCTAGTTCTTTCTGGTCCCCCTTTTGCATACTACTACATGCTGCAGAGTTTTTCATGATCACCCAGGGTGTAGCATCCAGCAACCATAACAGTGCTAGCCATAAATAACTAGAACTGTAAAAGCTGGTGAACCAACTTAACATTAACCCTGCCTGTGAACTCAGCAGGAAAGATTCTGAGAAATAACACTCTATTATCTCTTGTCTCTGTAACATTTACATGAAACACTTAGTTGTACATATATGCACAAAGTTCTCTAAAAATAAAAAAAAAACTTTATTTGAAAATTTCTTACAGGCATTCAAAGTTCTTTCTTTGAATCCATTCACTGAATACTCACCCCCCTCTGACTGGGCAGCAGCTGTTGTGTCTTCCTTAGTGTCTGAGAGTCTCTGCCTTGACTAGAGAAAAACTGAGTGAAGGTTTACTTGGTTTTGATGCCCAGCACATAAGTTTCTTATTTTTAAATTCAGCATATAAATCGATCCTATTTTTGGAAGCATTTTTTAAGTGTAAAAAAGTCTGCTATATGGGAAAACTGAATGGTTAATATTTAAGCATTTCAATATATTTAAATTTTACCTAAAAAAAATAAGACTAATAATCAAATAGGGGAGGTGGGGAATGGGTTGAGTTATTAATGAAAGAAGAATAGAAGAATACTGGTAATTGTTGAAGATGGTGATGGGAGTTTATTCTATTGTAAAAAAGTATTAAACTATACTACTGTTTACTTTGTATTGATTAAAACTTTTCCATGATAAAGTCTGCTATATCAAATAGGGATTTTCTGCCCCAATTTTTCTTAGATCTTATTTTTCACCTTTTCTTCACTTCGGTTACTCTAAATTATTTTCATTCTTCTTAAAATGCACATTCCAAACCTACAACCTTCACGTTCCAGTCAATCCAGGGATTGGATGAAGTGTATTCTATAGATTCTGATGATAATCCTTACATCATATTAAGTACATGTGCTTTTGAACCTCTTAGATTTACATGATTTTTAAAGACAAGTAGTAAATATGCCTATGTTGGAAAAAATGAATCATCTTCGGTACTCTAAAATATTTTAAAAACATACATAATATTTTTTACTGCCATATTTTATCAGGTAGAACTCTGAATTACTTTGAAGTCTCCAGTGGCATAAAAATCAGAGTCACACTTAAAAGGTTCATTAGAAAGAGTCACGTAGATATTCCCATTGTCCACCGTCACTTTATGAATCCTTTGTTTTATCCCTTTGGAGCACCACTTGGGCTTTGCTGATGGATCTCTAGGGTTTATAGACTGATACAGTCCTTCTCCTGTTGCCAGAGTAATTTTGTATTTATGCCAGGGGCAAACTATACACGGTCGTCCATCAAAATCCTGGGGAAGGAAATAATTGATTCAATAATCTGACATTTCCAACATTCACAATAAACCTCAGACTCAGAAGAGAATTTATTGTGGAAGAACCAGGTTAAAGAACAAACAAGTTTTTCTTTTTTTCCTTGCATTTATAAGTTATTTAGCATTAGGCAGAACCTAATCTTTGCAGCCATCAGGTCCCTTCTGCAGTTGATTAGAAACCCAGTGTGTCAGAGCTCTGTCAGGAAATAACTAGCTCAGACAACTATACCATGTGACTGCAGCTGTGCTGTTATCTACTAGATGTTAACATCATTTCTTTGACAGAAATGGGGCAAGGGCTTTAAGGGCTTCCATAGGAATTTTCACTACCTGCTGGAAGAATGGTAAGCTTCAGATAAAAATTCACAAGCCATGCATATTTTTCAGATAATCTGTGAATTGGTTTTCTTTGTATTATAGGATTGTAAATTCCTAGAATATTAGCAACTATACCTAAAGCATTAAAATATAGTTCAAACCCAAATATAATTTATTTTTGAATACAGAATGAAGTTAAGATCAAATAGGAAACATCTGAATTTATTGAGAATAGACTTAATTTTACATACCTCTATTTCTCCCAAATGTAAAGGTCCTCCTGAGTCTGAAAAGGAATTGAATATTACATCTGGTCACACAAAAAAGAAATTTTGATAGTTTTGTGGCTAGTAAATAAATACGGTTTACAAATGAAAAATAAAATCTTACGGTAACAGCGAATATCCATAGCATGATATTCTCCTTTGTGGTAGAAAATGACCACTTCTCTATCATGAACAACAGCTGTCATTCTTTCAGATTTTTTAATGTCATCTTCTCTGCCAACACAGACAGAAGAATATTCCTTTGCTTCAGAGCCATCAGGATCCATGCTAGTTGGGGGAAAAAATAAAAAAACAAGTAGTCTTCACTAGTTTAGCTACAATTTAACTCACAGAGATAATCGTATCATAAGAGAAGTTTGATTTCTGTGAAACTGATGGAGACTTTTTTTGTAGCTATTCAAAACAAAACATTTATAAATACTGGGTTGTAGTTAGTCATGATTTTGAGTTAGAGACTCATAAAGCTTGCCAAAATTAGGGAGGACTCACCACTTTTGAGGCTGGACTCAAAGAGTCATTTCAATGTGTAAGAAGCATATTTTAGAACTGCTAAGAGACAGGGACTAAAGTTTCACTATCCTTTTATTCCCCATTGATTAAACACTAAACAACATTTGGTTATTATCAGTGTTGTGCCTTCTGCTGAAGGTAAGATTCTTTGATAGTGTGAATAGTCTTGGCCCTCGTGGCTGAGGCGGCTCACCTGCTCTGCCTGGAGTGGCAGCCTGTTCTTACACATCAGCCACATAACTATTCTAGCAGAAGGGGACAGATGTGGATGTACACACTTCATTTTCTTAACTCAGAAATTGTCCTTACTTCTGCCTTATTTGGGCATTCAAAGAGATGGCTTTCTCTTCAATTTGTAAAAGTATATGAACCTATATTTCTGAATAAGAAGTTTTAGTAGAGAATTTGCAGGTATTCTAAATGTATTTTTTCTCAGCAGATAGCCTATTTCTTTGAAAGCAACCCTTTCAAAGAGACCTTCTATATACTTTAAGAACATAGTCATAGTCTGCTCATTCCACATGAGAAAGAAATATCAAGATACATCAGTATCAGGAATTCCAGGCCTCATGTAGATAATTTTCTTGAGGGCCTCCCACATAGAACTATTTAGATTTTTTCTAAGATAGTTTCTGAATAAAACTATATATCCTGTTTTGCCAACATTTTCTATACTTACTCTTTCTCCTCTCCTAATCTCAAATCTACCATTATTCCTACCCTCTTTTGGTTAGAGTTGCTATCCCAAAGTTTCTGGAAACATTCCCACTTTTCCTGTCTGAAGACAGAGATTATGATGATGTATACCTTCCAAAAAATGTGAAGAACCACATTCAATCTTATCTTAGGGTTGACAGATTTCTCCACTAGGCAAGAGCATATTCTGAATCTTTGCTTGTAATGAACTAAAAATCACAAGACCAGAAACCAAGACCATGCAAAGCTTTTGCTTTTTCCTTTATTTCCTAATAATTACATTATCAGATAACCCTGTATGGTGTCTGCCCTCTGCTGGAGAATGGGAATCTTCAAGCATCTGGACAGTATCCAGCTCTGCAACTGGCATAAGGCAAGCTCGCACTATGATGTGGGCAGACAGGAGAGTGGCTGCCTACCGCATTCAGGCATGAGATTTTGTATGCACCTGAGCCATTAAAGGTTCAGGTGACATCAGATTACAATTTACTTTTATCTTTGGGACACTGATGGACAAGTCTTCTGTAACCCATTTAGGCAGGAATATATATTTAAAAAGCAAGAAGGCACAATTCTCAAGGAGAGCCTATTGACAATAATCTTTAACACATCAGAATAGCAAAATTAAAAAATTTTCAATAATCTTCAGATTCTCCTTCTCCAAATTTCTGTCTCCTTGTCAGAGATGATCATTAATTTGATAAATATTTTCTGAACACCCACTGTGTGCCTGGCACTTCAAGGAAATAAAATAGGGTTTCTGCCCTCCTAAAAATTATATTGCAATTGGTGAGACCAATAATAAGTAGACAAATAAGATAACTACATACTTCCATAAAAACCATGAAGAAAATGAACCAGGTAATATGGGAGAGAAACTGGGGGAGGCCATTTTGAAAAGAATGGGCTGGGAAGGTAATTCTGAGGTGACGGTTCAGCTGAGACCTGAAAAATGCAAATAAACTAGACAGGCTAAGGGATGGCAAAGGAGAATTCCAGCTGAGAACAAGAGAGAAAAGCCTGAAGGAAAGAAAAATGAAAGGCTTGGTTAATCTGAGGAACAGAAAGGAGACTGGAGAGTAACAGCGGGGTTGATGAGACAGATAGGAGGCAGCCCCTGCAGCACTGTGAGTGGGTTTTATTCTGAGGACAATGGGAACACACTGAAGGGTGTAAAGCAGGAAGGGACTTGTTTTTAAAAGAATGTTCTGGCTTTGTGGAGAACGAATTGTAGCAAAACAAGAGGGGAAGCACAGAAATCAGACAGCTGTTGCAGTGGTCCATGGGAGAAAAGATGGCAGCTTGGACTAGGGTGCTGACTCCATAAGGGAGAGAAACAACAACTATACTAACAACAATAACAACAATAATAGCAGCAGCTACAATTAGACTGTGCTAACCACATTTCAGGCACTGTTTAAGACTTTACAATTATTTAATGACACATTGAATTCTCCCAGCATATTACTACAATGAAAGTATTACTGTAATTTTACAGTGGAGAAACTGAGTGAGGCACAGAGAGGTTGGGCCGATGAACTGGAATGAAGGAAAAAGGCTAGCTCCCAAGTTTTAGGTTTGTGCAACTAGATAGAAAAGACTGAGAAAAAGATATTTTACAGGAATGAAAAATAAAGAATTAGCTACATTTTGTACATACTGAGTTTGAGGTACATAAGGCACATTCAGGTAGAGGTATCAAGTAAATAGATACATGAGACTAGAGTTGAGAATATCTAAACACATAAATTTGGGAGTTTCCAAGTTACAGAAGTCACTGGAATCACTTGGAAGGAAGCATACGTAGGGAAGAGAGCCTAATACAATTCCTGAAGCACATACATAGTTGGAGGTCAGGTGAGAGACAAGCTGAAGAAAGGCAAGACAAGACTGTCCAATCTATTGGTAATGAAATGAAATGCATTCACTGTTGACTTCTCTCTCCTAAATTCTTCTCAGATGGCAAACAAGTGGTAACCCAGCAAAAAAAAGGCAGGCAATGAGTTAAAATCCATTCCCATGCTACCACCTCTATGTATCAAACAATGAAAGATATATGAAGAAAACATGGGCTTCCTAGGGAACCATCCTGCAACTTTGGTTGTTTCATAGAGACCAGACCTACACTACACTCTCTTCTCCTTGTAATTTCACTTACTCCCTAAACCTCCACTCTCCTAGGAATCAAATACTGGTTAACATCCAAGTAAAGGCTTATATCCAGAATAGACTATACTACTCTCTTTTCCCTATATTTCTAACATTTGTCTCCTATTGCACTCCTAAACATCCTTTTAGCCAAATATAGATATTTAAAAAAAGGTGGAAACAATCAAGACTAAGAAATCTCCCAATATTGTTCATAGGTACTGGCTCAACTCTACACAGGTCTGATCCAATCTTTGAATCAAAATAATGGGCTAATCAAAATTCAGGGCTATTCTTTGAAATTCAAAGTTAAGCACACAATCAGCCTTAAAAATGGCATATGTGTGTATTTTCAACCCAAAATAACTCTTAAGTCATAACATCTCAAGAGATGTTTATGTGGAGTACAAGCCTTCTAGAACAGAATGTAGCAATTCTAAAGGTTGTGGCAAAGCTAAGTTTAATCAATGTTTTCATTTTCAGTTTCATTTTAACAATCTCATCATTTTATGTATATTTCATTAGAGTGGGGAAAGACAAAGTTACAGATAACTTGAGAGGTACCCAGCTCTGCCTTCTACAAGATAAAGAATTACATACAGAAAAGGAAAGTATATCAAAGTGATGGCCCATGATAGTTGTAGAGATCCAGATGCCACGGAATGCTTATGATTAAACACACATACCCTTGCCTATAATTTAAGATATTTAATATGTAAATAACATGTCATAATTGTAAATAACATTTCAACTTCAAATAAATACTCTAGTTTTAGGAAGATTATCCTTCCTAATCCACAGTGTTCAAATATAGAAAGAGTGTCATATTTCATATGAAATTATACAGAATGATGATGTATATTTCTTTGATTAAAAGGAAACATATTGTAATTTCACCCAAGTTTTAAGTTAACATTTTAGATACAAACATGTATTCACCTTTTTTAAAAGGGGCACTGGAACCCTGATGTATCTCGCTGAGAATGTTTGCAAACCACAGGCCCATCCTCCTCCCAAGAGGGAAAATTTGTTATATGGCAGTACCAAGGGGATTCTGGCCTTCTGATGGCTTCTCCAAATATTTATTAATCCTGCATGACTTATTGGAAGTTTCAAAATGTTAGGAGGAAGAAAACATGACTCATTTAATTCAGAAGTAAAATCTCTACGTGAAGGTGTAAGGAGCAAGCTTTCAAAACAAGGAATTTATAGGCCACTACTTTGAGAAGGGTAGTTCTTGGGCCACAGGAAAGACAGTTACTAGATATGTTATATAAGTGTGGGCTTCAAAACTGAGGTGTAGGATGAAGAATATGTGTGTGTGTGTGTGTGTGTGAGTGACACAAATCAAACTTAGGAAATTATGGAGATGTCAAATTTGTACTCTGAAGATTACTCTAACCTACTTTTAAAATGATGGAAAAAAAAGCACATATATTAGTTAAGAAAAAACAAAGAAGACAGTGGCCATGATTTTCTGGATTAACCATGGCTGACAGGAGACTGGGTTACTACATCTCTAAATGGTTATCTGGTTTTACTTGATTTTGGCAGGTACCCAAAGTACACAAATTGGTCAAGTGGTTCTATTTACCCGCATGGTGTTGGACGTGCAGCCTTTATCACATTTTGTGGCAGAACAGATGGGCAATAATAAGAAAGATAGGAACAGACAGACGAACTGAAAGAGGGAAATAGGCTGTAGAAAAAGAAAGGGAAGAAATATGGAATTTGGAACACATAGCCAATAAAAGATTGAGATTCAGAGAATCTGAGGAAATCCTATAAATCAGGAAAGAAAATGCCAAATAACCATAGAAAAACAGACAGAAGACACGAACAGATACTTCACAGATGGAATCTGCAAAGGCCAGTAATCACATGTAAAGATGTTCAACCTCATTACCAGGAAAATGTAAAGGAAATAAAAAAATGCAAAGCAAAGTCACAAATGAAATACTATTTTTTATCCAACAGTCTGGCAAAAAATTATAACAAATATGGAGCAACTGATAATGAGGACATAAATTAGTGCTGTCAGAGATTGGCAACACCTAGTAAAGTTGAACACATTCATGACTCAATAATCCCACTTTGGATATATGCCAAAGAAAATGCACAGGTATATCAGGAGACATATACAAGAATAGTTCCAACAGCAAAAGATGAGAAACAACTCAAAATTCATGAACAGTAGAATGGATAATTGTTATGTTTATTTCAATAGAACCCTATGTAGTGGTGAAAAATACATGGGTACATTAAGTTGGATTAATTTCAAAAATGTACCTTTATTTAAATAAAAACAACAATAAAACAATTCAGAGTATGTTTCCATTTTTATCAAGTGCAAAGCCAAAACTGAACAATATATTACTCATGAATATATGTATATAGGGTAAATTTATAAAGAAAAGCGAGGAGATAGAAAACACAATTTCTTAAATGTCTGAAAATATATTCTTATATTTAAAATTACTCTTTTTCAATATTTAAACTGTATCCTACTTTATGTTTAGGTAGCAAATGATCCAAAATCCAAGAAAAGGGGAGTAAAAATGACACTTCCTATCCTCAGAAAATGTGCCTGTGCATTGATCATGAATGAACTATTTGAGGATTTTGTATCACTTATTTTAAAAGTTGGCACTAAAAGAGGAAATAAATGGTTCTCTTACTTTTATTTTTCCAGGCAACAACTAGAAATACTAGTATCAAGCAACTAACAAAGTATATGAGATGTGGAATAGCATCAGAAGTTAGGTTCTCCCCAACTCTCAAATAAATGAGAACCAAATAAATCCTTCCTCAAGTTTCAGTCTTTTTGAAGACAGTCTTTACTAAGTCTTTGCAGGGTTTTCCCTCAACCAAGGAAAACTAGTGAACTTTGCAGGGGCTGATAAGAAATGAGCAGAAAATGCTGGGGCTAAATGATAAGTTTCAAAGAACTACGATTATAGTCTTGCATTTTGCTTAGAAAAATATTATCTCATCCTTCAAATAATTGTTCCATTCATAAATGGGTCTATTTATTTATGATATCTGGTGACTATAATTAACATCCATATTATTCTTAATTGAATATTGTGAATATCATGGTCCATTTCTACAACAGTAAGAGTCAATGTGTTCACCTTACTTACATGCACTATTCATACACTCCCACACATTTCCTCTATTTTGAGTTGACTTTAAGATAGCAGAATCATAAGTGAATTAAAAAAGTGAATTAATTTAGGGTACCCAGTTTGGGAGCCAGATGAAGAAAAGTTACTTCTGAACAGTGTAGCCATTTTGTTCCACAGTTCTTTTCAAGAAATATTTTGGTCTCTGCCTGAAATTAGGTTTCTAAAGATGCTACTATATAAACTTAGAAATTAACCAAAAGATTCCTCAGTCTCTATTAGGTACCTTTCTAGAATAGGAAATCCATTCAAGTTGAATTTCTTAAAACACATAAATTACCATAAGACACTGGAGACAAAAGAGACGTGAAATTAAAGGGATTTGCCTGTTATTCCTCTTGAGCACTTACTAAGGTGTTTTACCAAGTCTGGGGCTTGACACATTATCAGAATGCACAGCTCCAGAGTGACACCCTTGCTTTTAGGTTCAGAGAAGAGAAATGCCTTAGATAGTAGGTTTGTATCTGTTTGGATGTCAGAATAATAATAGATAAAACTAGCTATCCTTCAGTGAGTGCCAACTACTTCGACTCTACATACAAGGAGTTAGTTAATCCTACCAAAGGGTATCATAACTACTTTCCAGATGAGGAAACTAAGAATAAAGGATCCTCTTGAACAAAATCATGCCCAGACTCCCAAAATAGCAGTCAAGATTCCAACCTTGATCTTATGAGTCTACATTTTGTGAACATTGATACATAAATGTTAACATTTCGAAAAAGTAGCAGCCGCGGATTTGTAAAGACACGTGGCCGGCAAGTAAACTGTCTTAAAGGTACAAAACCTTTTCAACGAAGATACGTGTGTATGTGTATATCTCACCATGTATCTCACCAAAGATGGTCCTGAACGATAATGTGCAAGAGTCGTGTCAACAGTCAACAAATGTTTAAAACGGAATGTTTCCCTGATAATTTAATAAGGCCACGTAGCCGCGCTGGCATCGGCCGCCACCGTGTATGCTACTAAAGATCTGCGAGCACCAAAGTGAGTTCCCTGGCTCTGCATGATTTGGGGCAAGTTGCTTAATTTCAGAGCTGCAGTTGTTGCGTCTGTAAGGCCTGCCACACAGGACTGTGGCGAGGAATACGTGCTTCACTGTATACATCGTGTTCTGGAGCTGGACTCGGCCCTGGGAACCGCCCCAACCCTGTTAGCTGTCATCGCTAAGGTCCTCCCGGCTCTGACAGTTTAACAACGCAAGACTCCAAGCTGTGTTAACTTTTTAATGAGGACGGTCAGCAGCGGTGAGACGGAGTGGCGCTGGGGAGCCTGACACAATGACCGTGGCTGTCCTGATGAGGTAGACTGTACCACCTGCAGAGTTCAGGGGACGAGTATGCAGGACGGACGGGGCTGCAGAAACCCTGGCGCAGTTTTAACGCCTTAAAGCATCCCAGTGCTAGGAAAACTTGGGGTGCGCCCAAGACTCTACGGTGCACAAGCTCGTGAGCCTCGCTGGGACTGGGCGGAAGCCTGCCTGGCGGGTAGGGGTAACGACCGCGGACTCAGAAGCGCCCAGCGCACAGGCCCGCAACCGCGGCCCTCGCCAGCACCCGGCGCCGCCGGATGCCATAGCCCAGACCCGCCGCCCAGCCGGAAGCAGCGCACCTCGCGAGCCCCGCCCCGCGCCCGGCCGTCCAACCCCGCAGCGAGAGCGGACCTCACCTCCTTAGTCCCCTCGCTCCTCCTCCGCGAAGGCCGGCCTGCCGCGGGCCCCGCGAGACGCCGCTGAGCGAGCCCGGACGCCAGCCGAGGGGCGGAGCCTCTGGGGGCGGGGCGAAGCCGCCCGCGTGACCCGAAAGCGGGCCAACCACCCTCTGCGGGGACCTCCGATCACCAGGCTGGATCCGGGGTTGGACAAACGTAGGTGGCCTCAGTTTATTTTTAAATGGCTATTGATCTCACCACATTTATCCATTATTTAAATGCACCCAACGAACTCACTTCTAAGAGTACATACCTTATAAAGATGTCTGCAAAAGTTCGTCACGTTGCATGTAATCTATGTGTAAGGCTGTTTATTGAAACGAAAGAATGAGGAGAGCTGAGATGATCAACGGGAATCATTAAATACAGCGTAGACATGCGAATGACTTTGTGACCATGTACTCAAAGAGCAGATTTCATGATGTAGTGAGTGTTAAAAAGCAAAGTACATAATACTATGTCTAGTGTGCTTGCTTCAGTGTAAATAATTATTTCTCGAGATACAAGTATGTAGGTATGTACAGAAATTTTTTCTTAAAAAAGAAAAAACTTGGAAGTGGTTGCTTTGGGAGAGATGGAGGGTTTCCACTTTAATTTTTTGCAACTTTGTTTTTTCTCTTTATACTTGTCTGAATTAAACACCACCACCACCACCTCCTACTTGTGTGAGAAGCTGGAAGGTAGATGAATATGATGGGTTTTTTTTTAAAGTTTCCTTGACTATCTTATAATGCAGTGGTTCTTAACTCTGCCCATGCCTTAGAGTCACCAGGGAGTATTAAAAAGTTAGGATGCCCAGACCAGTGAAATAAAAATCTCTGGGGGTGAAGGGGGTCAATATTTTTTTTCTACCTTCCCAAGTGATTCCAGTGTGACCTCAAAGTTGAAACACAATGTTTAATATGCTGACATACTGATCTTAGATCCAGATCTCAAGGCCGCGAAAATCCAGGAGCCTCTTCCATTTACCCCAGTATGCCATATAAATACCATTTTTTTCTATGGGCCTCAATATATGAAATACTGAGAAACCCAGAATAATGGATTTGCCACCAATGCTAGTTTCTTCTGATTTCTATTCTGTTCAGTATGGTTTTAGGGTGATAGTAATGTTTTATGGGGTAATTTCCCTTTTGACCCTTTTTTTTTTTACTGATCCAAGCACAAACTAACCATCTAGTTTTGATAAATTGCTTTACCAATGTAATAATAAAATACATTTGGATTTATTATAATTTACATTGTCTCTTAGCCATCCCAAATTATTTTATTGGCATATGGAGAGTGTTAGCAGTTCTCAGCTTATGTCAATGAAGGGCTAAATAAGGTTTGCCATTCTAATGAAAAGTCCTTTTTTACTTTGGCATACTCTGGGCATTAAAATAAGACACTTCTTCGCTCCATTGACCTAAAAGGTAATTTTGAATAAACTGAAGAACTCAGCAGATACACACACATATATTCATAAGAATGAGAGAAAAATTGACATTTTCCTTTAACTCTATGTAGTATAAATGTGGTTAGTCATGTAATAATATGAAATGCTTGGAAAGCCTTAGTGGGGGCGTGGGAGCAGAATACACTATGTCTCTGCACTTTCGAGATATAAAAGCACGCACACACCCACACGCACTAGTTAACAGCAGGAACCCATAAAGTCCATTTGAATGTACAGCTCAGAATAAAATTCATGCTTCTTACTAGCCATTTTCGTTTTTTCTTTTTCGTTTATTCCCCAGTAGAACAGTTCCAACTAGTGTGGGCACTGCTCCCACAAAGTTTTACCTGAGGCTACTTGGAGGCACTTTCTAGATCCTCTCTTGGAACCAATTTGCATCTCTTTTACCCTCCTCTGGTTGTTCTTACTTTCTTTCCTTTCCTACTAGTGACACCTAGTGGTCGTTCTGCATGAGTGTTGTTACCACACAGAAATCAGCGTTTCCTCTGTGATCTTTGCCCATCAGTACCTTCGTCTGTGGTTTCAAATGATCCTTCTCACCTTTGTGAGCCCCTCTCCTCTACTCTGAGCATCAGACTGTTTCTAGACAGGCTTCTCCAGGAACACGCCCTTCCTCTGCGAGAGGAAAACCTGCCTTCAGTCCTGAACCAGAGTATGTGTTGTGAGCTTTTGAAGACACTCTTATGCTGCTGGTTCCATCCACTACAGGGAGGTTTGGAGACTGTCCACCAATCTGGGTTTCCTATTCCTTCAAAGCAGAAAATGGTGATAACATTGCCCTTATTAGCCCACTGGGATTCAGTTCGTGAGAAAGTGAGGGTGGCTTATTTTAAATACCACTTAATCTGCTAATGACTCCTAAGCAAAAATCTCTACAATATCTGTTTATCGTAGTGACTTGTGTGACAGTCCCACGTGGATATCCAAATATTCCTTCTTTGCGCCCACATTTCCTTGTTCCACTTACAGGTGGTTGAGGCCATGTGACTTGTTCTGGCCAATGGGTTGTGAGTGAAAATGCAGTGTGTGTGTCCTGCACGGAAGAGCAGGTATGAGGCCGCCCTAGTAGTCTCATCTTCTGTCACAACTGATGTTCTAGATCGTCGGCCTCCATTGTCCTAGGCCCCTGAGTGACTGAGGAGCAGAGACTGCACCCGCCCTCCCCAACTTGCCAACTTCCACCAAACCAGGAAAGACATATAACTCAAATAAGAAATAATCTTTTCTTGTGTTAAGCCACTGAAATTTTAAGGTTTATTTTATGATTGCAACATAGTGTAGTTTAACCTGATATCTCATAGGTGTCTCTGATTTTTTTTTATATTGCTAATGTATAATTACTTGAACAACATTATGGTTACTAGACTCCCCCTATTATCAAGTCCCCCCCACATACCCCATTACAGTCACTGTCCATCAGCATAGTAAGATGCTATAGAATCATTACCTGTCTTCTCTGTATGTACTGCCTTTCCTGTGTCCCCCCCACTACATTATGTGTGCCAATAGTAATAATGCCATAAGATTTTTATGAAAACATAAAATATGATCTGTTAGGTCCCTGAAAGGACCTCATAAAGGGATCTATGAACCACACTTTGAGAACCACATCTGTAGAGAAACATTATTCTTCATCTTTGCCTGAGAGGTATTTCTCATATAAACCTGCTTATCAATTTCACTATTCTGCCATATTTGAATACCAGCTATATTTTGGTATTCTGTTTCAACTCCAACTCAGTGTAGTGCTATTCAGTTATAGCACTAACTACCTGAAGTTAACATAGCCCCACAAGTTAAAGGGTGCAGTCCTCAACACAATTGCTTCAGATACTTCAGATGCCAGCTGCACATGATGGGTCTCTAGGTTTTACCTGTACTTCTGACTGATTGGCTGATCTTTGACTCCTCAGGTTTAATAATGCTAGAATGATTCACA